ATAAAAAATTTTAATAATTATCTTTTTCATTACCTTTTCTGTTCATGGTAACATCATTTCTGTAAGCGTGGCAGGGTTGACCTACCATTGAACTTAACTTCTGAACCTAGTGTATTTATTTTATACTATTACCCCAGGCAACAGTGGTTTTAATTTGAAGAGAGACTAATTAGAAAAATGCATCAATGGTTTTTTCCTTGTAAACTGGTGCACAGATGCCATCCAGTGGCTCTGCTGAGAGTTACAGCCCAGTTTGAGGAAACGGCTTTTTTTTTTACTTTCAGGCGGCACTTAGGGAAAATACTGCCACTCATCAGAGGCTTTGGGTTTTTTAAATTCCTGTCTTTCTCTCCCTCACGCCTTTATTTTTCCTTACAGGTTGTCTGGCGAAAGCTGGGTGATGCTGCGAGCTCCAAACCCTCCATCAGGCAACATCTGTCAGGAAACCAGTTCAAGGGTCCCTTGTAGGAGCACAGTCCCGGAGGCTGGAAGTGATTGATTCTGTGAAGGCTAAAGAGGCAGAGCTCAGCGTTTCTGGCTGCCTGTTCATTGGGAGTTGGGGTTGAGGGTTTTTTCAGGTTTTTTTGTTTGTTTGTTTGTTTGTTTGTTTGTTTGTTTTTTAACGATAGTGTAAATATGGCAGCTAAAGGCCTGATTTCCAGGCTGTGGTGCTCTGGAACTACTGTTCAATGGGTAACCATCCAATAATGCCAGACTTGCATTGTAGTTCAAATCTGCTTTGTTGTAATGGTCTGTTTGTAGAATTAACTAACTCGAGAGAATTTCTAAGAGGAAAAAGAAGAACCATTAACCTGCAGAAAAGTCACAGTTTGTATCACTCCAGTCCACCCGCTTGTCAATGATTCATAGCTGGGTTAGTGGCTCCAGGCTGCACTTTCCAAGGAAAGAGCGATTTGAATTCGTTGGCTTCGATCTGCCAGTCTCCTGAGCTGCTAACACTTTTTTGGAGGTCCTTGTTTTGAAAAATGACATGCAACTGTTTTCACAAGGCGCTGTGTACAATAGTGAGTGGTAAGCTAAAAACACGGGTACCGCTGTGTACGTTGTACGGTGGTACTCATCACACAAGCATACAGCAAGGCTTGAGACTCCGTATCAGCTGTTAATGAACTATTTTTCATGAACAAACGACACAAGATTTCTGCAGGTGCAATGTGAATGAACTGAAGTCACTCAGCCACACACCAGTATTCCCTACAAATATCGCAACAATTTTCCTGTAAAGCTTTTATTACAAAATAATTCAGCAGAAACTGCCGTCCTAACAGTGCTCACGGCTTTCACAGGATCTTCGAGAGCAGCTCATCTTTCACATAAGGAAGATTTGGGTATTTTTTTTTTCATGTTCTTGCTGGATCCCTTATCTCTACTGGTTCCTGTGTAAGGTAACCAAACAACAACCTTGCAGAGCTGAATAAAAATTCCATAAACACGGGCTGCCGGGTGAGACTACTTCCTGCCATTCAAGCTTTATTTTTATTAATGAACCAAAACAAGTAGGTTTTTCCTTCTTCTGATGGTTGTATATAAAACAATGGGACTTATATTTTGCTATTGTGGAGTAGCTGCTTGTATAGTTGTAAGAATTTGACACCCTCCCCCCCCAGCCCCCCCTCTTTTCCAAGTTGTTGCAGCAGCTGTCCCTGTATTTTATTAGATGTTCTTTCCCAATAGTCCAAGGAAGCGGGGCTTGGTTATTAAAATAATTGGTGTAAAATAATTTTAAAGATAGGTATGTAAAAAGATCAAAGCCTCCTCTTCAAAAGTTGCATCTATTTTAGTAATTAGTTTGAAGATTTAATGACCTCAAACACCATCACTTTATTTTTATTCTCCATAATAATCACAGCTACAGACAGCTGAATTAGCTGGACGGGGTCTTCCTCTTAAATTAATTTGCTCTACCAGTCAAGTACTTTACTTGTGGTAATGTATTAACATGGAGCACTGACACAATACCAAGGAGTCCATGCTGCTAGTTATGAAAGGTGATTGGTATACAATAATCTAGCTGCCTGGGGGAAGAGTTTGGAAGGTTAGAGCTCAGACAGTGAAAAACCAGAGAACGAATACAACCAAAATACATAGTAACCAGTAGGAGTAAGCAGCATTTCATCATTCATTGCAGAAATAAAAATGTAACAGTCAAGGAGGCTATTTGGAAAAAAAAAACAAACCCAAACCAACCCCCCCCCCAAAAAAAACCAAGAACCACCCCCCCCCAACCACACACGCATACTCTCACTCACACACTCACCAGTAGTTTGTTTCTCACTAGTGCTCAGTCAGCAAACGCTGAGCTAGCTAACTCTAAGTCTAATAAGCTGTACAACCAGTGTGTCTGGAAAAATCCATTCCAGAGTCTGACTTTAAATAGGGCATCTTTAGAGGAGTCCTGATTTCCTGCTCATTGCTTTGTGTTTTGACCTCCAGTTTCTAGTCACCATTGATTACTTCTCTTCCTCCTGTACAATTTATACGTTGAGACTTTCGTACCATTTCTGGCAATGTAAAGCAGAGGCCTCATTCTTCCCTAACATCTAACATTGAACAGAGGGTTCCTTTCCTCTATCTGCTTGAAAGCCCATTTTAATTTTGGTGGCATCTAATCACTGGATTAAGCAGAGAATTGAACAATATTGGGAACAAGGTTAATTTACGTCAGTGAACTTTAGTTAAAGTGATGCAAATGTTGCCAGCACTTGTAGAGAGTTAATTGTGCTGATGACGTGCTTGCTATTTTAAGAGTATATTAGACTGGCAGGTCTTCTCAACAAGAGCTCTACTAATCAGATTACTAGTCTCACCAGCTATGTAATTCTCATTCAACTATTCCCTGCTATCAAATCTCTCTCCAACTCTATTCACTAACTTCAAGCAAAGCTTGTATTGTTCCACCTGCAGATCTCACCTATAAGGAAAATAGTGCTGTAATTGAGGCCCATTAGTGCTGCAAACCCTGCAGAGCCAGTTCACAGGGGAGCCAGTAGTTTGGCTGAACAGCCTTTATACTTTTTGGGTATATCCCGTTTCTTTAAGATTCTACCTGGCAGCATAAATCTCCAATGTAAGATGTGCATCACTGATTTTGCAGAAGAACATGACAATGCTGTACACTGGGGTGTTATCTGGGGGGATGGGGGGTGGCCTTAGGCTTGCTACTCTTCATACTTAGCTCCATTTGAGCTATAAAGTGTCTTCCTGAGGTAAAATGCTCAATGACTCCACAGGATGACTTGGGTGCTGAACTTTCAGTTGTCTAAAAAGATGTTTTACATGCACATTGAAATTCACTTACCTATGCGCTAAGTCTTCAGTGAAAACTACCTGAGGAGCTTTGTACATTAAGTGGGAGGGAGCATCCCTTGAGATAGTGGCCATTAAATTGATGTATTTGGGGCAATAGTCCAAGTTAATTTCCTCAAGAGTGAAGCTCTGGGTTCTGCAATCCTCTGACAAAGAAAGCATCCACTGTTTACAAATGGACTTTGCTTGCTTAAAGAAAATAAAATCACATCCTTGACTTTTGTTGGAGTGACTGAAGTGAACAGCATTTCCATAAAAGTTTCTGAAGTGCTGCGGTGTAACCAGCTTCAGTTGGCTCTGTGCACCTTGATAAGACTGCTGAGCACAACCTTGTTTGAGAACAGCACATTTTTATCCAAATATTAGATATTAAAAGAAATCAGTGTTAAAGTGACCTTTTATCTTTTTAGAAACTGTGGGGGAAGAGTACTACTGATCTTTTTCAAAGTGCATGACTGTAAAGTGATAAAATTGTATATTTTTCATAATGTGGGGAAAGTCTATTTGTGCTGCTTTAGAAATCAGTTTAAAGTTTGATTTCTGTTAAACCTGTGATCTTACAGCCCTGCTCTATTTTCTGTATATGATTTACAAAGAACTGGAAAAGTTAGCACCTGCTGTTGTGTACATAGCAAAATTCTTTAGACCTTAGCACGCGTTTTTACCTATTATTGAACCACTCTGGCTTTTTTGGGGACGGAAAGTAATAGTACAGATTTTTTTGATAATGTGTGTAAAACATTCATTTGAAATATTTTAGTAAAAATGAAGTAAGAGATTGATTGTGATAGTGTATACTTCTAGTTGAATAAAATAAAATACATTCTTTTTAAATAAACTGATGAATAAGATTTGGGAGACCACTGCTGAAGTCTCTTGCAGTAAGTACCATAGTTATGCATTCTGAACTAATATGAAAAACCTGGAAATCCACTAAATTCAGAATGAATTTTATTTGGGTAGATGTGAACGAAGTAGTCCCATTTATAATCAGGATGTACATCACAGTAGGTTGTTACATTCAGACTTTCACACTTAGAAAATATATATATTATGTACAGGAATTTGCAAATAGGTGTAAACATACAATACTTTAAGATACCAGTACATTCCAAAACAAAAATATCAGCAAGGGAAACATCTCAAAATGATTCTAGTCAGCTAGCATTCAGAATCTCTCTTAAATAAAGTAGCTTTTATGCTTGACATTGTGTTGGCTTAATTATTAGTAAAAATGAAGTTTCTTACTGTAGATCAAATTTCATGGTATCTGTCTATTTTGATACTCAAAAATAGGCACTGGTTTCTAGGAAATTTTCTTCTTACTGATATAATTGAGCCAATATGGCTGGTTTTGCTTGTACAAAGTAATCCAGTGCTGGAATAACTCAAGACAATTTCAACTTAAGTCAAATGTAGAAAGTTAAAGTAGATACGGCAAAGCTGATTAAAACCTAGAAGCCTCTATAACTCACCAGAAACAATACTGCAAACAGATCAGCTAAATTTTCATTTCACCACCTCGTTTCTTCATCTAAATTATACAAATTACCCCTCTCTTTACAAAGTAGGTTTTGGCTACTCCTGCCTAGTCAACATAAAGGGATATCGTGCAAATTACCTCATGCTATCTCATCCATGTAGCACGTCCAAGTCCAGCTACAGGTGGCATACCAGGTGGTGGAATTGGAGGTGGTACAGGTGGCTGTCCACCTGGGGGAACAGTAGGCGGGGGGTAACTAGCTGGTGGCATTCCCAGCCCTGGAGGTGGATGAGGTGGTACTGCATGAGTTGGAGGCAATCTTGGAGGTGGGAAATTAGGGTTGTATGTGGGTGGAGGAGGATATCCAGGAGTAGGAGGTGGAATATTGGGCGGGGGGAATGAAGCAGGAGGTGGAGGTGGAACTGGTGGTGGAGGGTTGGGAGGATAGACATGAGGATGATATGGTAGATGAGTTGGTGGTCCATAGGCTGGTGGTAAAGCTCCGTAAGTTGGTCCTTCCGTTTTCATCATTGACTGGAGACTTTGATAACCCTCCCCTGACATATAAGAATTTGTAGTAGACATCCCTGTAATATAACTGGTGGGGGGTGGGGGTGGGGGACGATGAGGCAGAGGTGGAGGTTGATGCACTGGGGCAGGATGGGCAGGGGGAGGAATCTGGACCTTTGGCACATCTACCGAGTCCACAGTAGTAGATTGCTCTGCTTCTCCCATTGAAACTGCAGTTGTCAAAGGAGGCTTGCGCTCTGGAAAAGAAAATTGCATTTCTTTTTTTGAAGGGTAGTGGCAATAACAGCTTCTGAAAACTTTGTATTTTTCTTCCAGTTAACATATCAAAAGAGGACTCAATTCTCTCAGTCTCTGAATGACATATGGTATCCAGTCAGACCTTCTTATATCACTAGAAAATAACTAGGCTGCATAACAAAGCTCCAAGTTCAGCTTTTCCCATTCTAAAAGTTAAATACATTCTTACTACTATTTTCTTATAATTTAAATATTGTTCTACAAGCAGCAGAAATTAGCAGACTGGATGGAGAGAATCACAACTAGCAAGTGTAAAGTCACGGAACCCAAGATACCAAAAATCTTCTTTAGTCCAGCCACCCTTCTACCTCTCTTATACTCCAGGATTACTCTCTGCACTTCACTTGCCTCCCATGTTGGGAAATATTATTTGAGAATACAGGGCAACATCTCAAGTCTTTAACACTCAGTTCTAAACCTGTTTACCAAATGAAAGAAAGAAGAAAACTGGAGGGTAAATAAGAAAGTACAATAAATTGCTTGGGACATGAAATCTGATCAGCTTTGTTCCACTGATCAGTTTCACGGAGGTCAGTACCTGACAGTCTGGGGAAGTTCATAAAAAGGTCAGAATTTTACAGAATTATACTTGGCCATTTCTGGGAAGAACATGCTTTAAACAGTCTTCTCTTAAATAAGAATCTTCTTCCCCCCCCCCCAGTGCAGACATTCTAAAGGAAGGAATACTGCAGTAAGAAGACTGAGCTAATGGCAACATCTCCATATGGTCATACAGTCAGTATTCAAATACCCAACAAAAAAGTTGGGGGCATCTTGACATCCATCTTGCTTGTATATATACACATCTAAAACATTGTGCAGTAAGTTATTTAGAAGCAGATACAGGGCAGTCATTTCCAGTGGAATGAAACAACTAAACTAACAATGCTAAAAACAATTTGAGATAAATGCATCTTCTAGTACTTCTGTTCATTTGTTCAATAAACATTCCCAGTTTTCACCTTATTTTTCCTCAGAGCCCCAAAGACAAGAGCTGGCCTCTAAGACAGTTCTTAAAATGTTTCAGTGCTTATACAATTATTTGCTTGTATAAACAAATTCTAAGAGGGAAATTTTAGATAATGAGGGATACAAAATGTTTGCCTACCTAATTAGGATTTACCTTATCTAAGCAGTCAAAATTTTAACAGCAAAATTGTCCCCTGGGACAGCTACATAATTAGTTAATGCAAGGTGGGCAAGCTCGCTGTGGACCTATGATTTCAAGGACTTCTAGCTCCTGAATTATAGCAGGCAATAATTCCCCCACTTGCTCATTTTCAGAATCATTCTGGATGCAAGATATGCATTCAAGATTTAACAACTCAAGGAATAATAAACATGATATTCAGAAGAACCCCTTCATTCTTAATTAGATTTTAACAAATGGGAAAAAATGGTCCTACTATACTTCAGACCACTGTTTTTCTCTCCTGTAATTCCCTGTTAGAAGCTGTCATCTTACAGTTACATTATGGACCATGCTCTATAAAATATTTATGTCATATTTACAGGTCACTGGAAGGACAGCTAATGCATCAAGGCGCTGGAAGCACATTTTCACAACAGCACAGTTTATTTTGCAAACATAAGGCATGTGTGCTGTGTTAACGTTCTCTGGCAGATGAAAGTCCTTTTGGACACAGCAAAGAAAGTATCCCCCTTACTGTTTAGAAGTTACACACCTGCAGAATTTCTATACTAATGATGTAATGTGGAGGACTTCTATAGGTTAGGTGGAAGCTACTCTAGTAATATAATATGGCATCTGCCATCCTTTTGAGAACATAAGTCCCTTTTTGTCTGCTAGTGACAATTAGTTTTAGTCTTCTAGGCCTTTAACAGTCACAGCTTTGTTTTGCCTTTGTCCACCTAGTATAGTCTTGTTTCCATAATAAATTTTTTGCTTCCATCTGAAAAAGCCTGTGCTACTAAGATTAAATTCTCTTTGGAGCTTATCTGCCTAATGCTTTTACTTGACAAGCTGATTAATCAAAACAACAAGCCCTTCCCCCACACCTCTACCACCATCTGAATGAAAAGCAAAGCAATTAACTGCAAGAGTAAACATGTTTTAGAAAATAAAAGCTTACCTGGAGGTGGATGTACAGGAGGTATTGGTGGATGTGAAGTTTCAATTTTGGGAATTTTAGATGGTGGTGGTGGTTCTAAAAAACATTTGGAAGTTCCTAATTGGCTATTGTTCTGCAATATTTTGCAAAGTCCATCTCTAGTCTCACACTAATGATTATCATATCATATCACACTATGCAAAAGTACAGTGGAAATCCTATATACTATGTATGTTTAAAAGGGAAACTAAAATCAAGACCTTTGTATAAATAAAGTGACATCAAGTATCACATATGTCTTCCAAAAGCACACATGCCTACAAATTCAAACTATGCATTTTATAACTAGAGATGAATTGTCCCAATAACACTAGGAAAGTGCAGATGAGCACACATGCATTTTCTAGCACAAAACTGTAACTTGCAAATAGTTAAAACAAATCTCATGAAAAGCTGAACTATGTGAGTGGAACATGTCTAGAAACCAAATAAAATGGCAATTGCACAGGAGAGAGGAGGGAGAATAGGAGAATATACAGCTCTCTGGGATCTACCTGCAGAGCCGGAGAAGTGCAAAACTTACTGTGGTAAGAAAAAGTTACAGACTTGTATCCTAGCTATCCTAAAATACATTGCTCCAAATCAGCAGAATGAAGGAGAAAAAAAACAAAACAACACAAAACCAAACTGACAAAAAGAACTAGATGTCATCACTGCAGTGAAGCATTTCTTAAGCTAGGCTGTATATTGATACAAAATGCCTTTTACTGGCAGCCGTGCCAATAACCGATTACAAATCTCACTGATTACCAAGAGGCGACTTATTAGCGCAGCTCTTTAATGACATGGTACCTTCAGCCACTGCAAAGTCCCACAGATTGCTGAAGAACTACTCCAAATGATGCATGGAGGTGTAAGTTGAGAGTTGAGTAGTTCAGCAAGACTTCTACTGAATAGACTGTATTAAGGGACTCTTGGGGCACAGTTACACTCTGGTTTTTAAGTTTTGCAGTTAGGAACATTGTAAAAATAGTTACAGCATATATTTAAAGACACATTATTAGGATCAGAATAGTTTAGCACTGCCAAGCTTGCAAACAAACAAACAAAGCACACATCAGCAAATGAGTTATTCTGGTTCAAACAGTAAAATGAAAGCAATATGAATCGAATGTTAACATTTACCTGATGTCTTTGTTTCTTCTTTTGGAGATACAGCCTGTTTAAAAAAAAAAAAATAGGATGGAAATAAGACCACTGCAAAATACAAAGCATTTTTAAATGATAACAAACAAGCAACATAGGAAATGACTTACAGCGTGCTGGAGAGCTTTTGTACAGATCTGACTAAACCAGAACCAGTTTTTCTCCCTCCTCTGGAGGCAGGACAAACCCTTTATGTTCCTATACTTTTACTAGGAGGTTAATAATGTCCAATCTCTTCAGACAGATGCAACATGAACACTGCACGAAGTCAAATCACATTGGGAAAGCCCAGCTTAACTGGCAGAATGAAAAGATTGAAAAAATAGCAGCTATTTCAGATACAGCATTCCCTGCTGTTCTCACTGTTGAGTATTACATCTCATTTAATTTATTTATCATCCACTGCACATATGTCATGGTCTGGTACATTGCTCACTAAGCTGAAAGCAAGAGATTTGGCCACTGTTCCTGATTCCGCTTTGACCTGTCATTCAACCTCCACCAAAATCACTTCAGGCCTTTATGGTTTATTTACCAGAAGAGGAGGGCAGTGGAAGTGTTGCTCAGTGTAGAACATTTCAGAAGCCTTCAGATGGAAAGCACTGTATAAAAGCCAAATGTTATGCCAGGAAAAAATTTATGCACACTGAGCAAAACCCACAGAACCTCACATCATCCTTCCAGTCACAAGGTGTTGGATGTGTTTCTATTGTTGTTTTGTTGTGGCTTTTTTAAAAAAATCACAGACAAGGGAGTTAGAAAAATCCTTCCAGCTTACTTAGTCCAACCGAGACAGCCAGTTGATGGTCTGAGAAAAGCAGAAAACCAAACAGGAATTCTAAGTACAATAAGCTTAGTTACAAATGTATTTAAAATTAATGATAAAAGTCAGCGGGGTACAGTACATAGCTTCTCTGTCTTTTGAATAATAGGGTTTTTTTAAGGGTCTATTTACCTCTCATGGCTTTACCTTCACCAACTGTTGCTCAGTTCCCATCACTTTACTTTCTGCAGCAAGAATGGACTTCCATTTCCCTCCAGTTTGAACAATGAATCTTCCTTAATTCCAACAGGTATTCTCAATATTTCTGCTGTCCAATACAGAGGTGCTCAAGGCTTGCTTGAGGCTACCTCATTCTTATATTCCTTTGATAGGCATTTCAATTCACCTTCAGCCACTTTCTGGCTGCTTTCTTATTTTGTAAGGACAATCTTTATCTTCCCATTCCAAACATACATACGTTTCTTGGTGGCCCTCTCAGATTCACCTGCTGCCTTCATTTTACTTGGGCAGTCTTTTCTTGATTTTCTAGCACTAAACTCCTTCTCTGAAAAACTGAATGCAAACATCAAGTCTCCCTGCACTGTCAGACAGAAGCAAGTCTCCACTACTTGCAACATTTCCAAAAATCACTAATTCTGTGAAGTCAGTTGATTATTTCAAGTGGCAAGGAATTCAGTTATTATGCATTTGTTAACAGGGAGCAATGTTCAGAATATAATGTTATTGAGGTATATTGTTAAAACAGAACAAGCAACTGGAGCCAAATAGCTCGTGTGACAGAAAAACATCAGTTTAAACTGTTATTTATGCTAAAGAAAAAAAATAAATCAAAAAGCAACAAAACCAAAGCCTGTTAAGAATTTAAATCACTTCGAGTAACAGCAGCTGCTAAAATATAGATGGGCATTTTTCAGTCCTTCTGCTGCACTGTAGTTTGTATTGCTCCAGTTGTGACATCCCAGGGTCAGCATTACCGATTTATTAGCATGCTGATTGCTCTTTAATACTTCCCTAATAAACTCAATCCATACCACAATGGAACGTTCTTTTAGCGCTGTTTCTATATGCATTAAAGTTGTTCCCACTAACAATTTTTAGTTTAATCAAACTAAATACTATTTATATCTAATGATTCACTGATATATTTTTAGTGAAGTCAACTGAACATTCAAGTGCTCTTCACCACCAGAGATGCAGAGGATGTGGAGATGCTTTAGACATCTGGTATGGGTCTGTAAGCTCATGGGCCAATGCCTCAGCTGCTTGAAAGTATCTTGGCTCAGCAGAAGTTATGAGTTCATGTAAATGGAAAAATCTGGCTTCCAGGAACAAAGTGTATTTATGTTCTGTACAAACCAAAGGAGAAGTCATACAAAGACCTATTTATAGAAGGAGGCAAACATTTTAAGTAAGGTTATGGTACATCTAACTGAAGAACGTTTTAGAAGCACCAAGTAAATCTTTTAAATGCTACACATCTTGTTCTCCTAGACTGCTTTCTGAAGAAAGATTTCAGATCATCTCATTTGCTTTTCTCAAATTCATGCTGTTTGTGCTGTTCTCCTACAAAACTTCTCCTGTGTCACCCTTTGCTTTATATTTTTCTGGATGCCTACAGTGTACCAGGACTTAACTTTTTTATCTGTACTATTCACTTCCTTAATTTTCATGTGATGGATCTCAAACTTAATTTCAAGAAATGGTAAACTGGTCTGAGGGCTTGACCAGAAGCGATTGTTAAAGAACAAGAGATACTATAAATGCAAAAGGCACCACTCTGTTTTTTTCCATGAGGTAATTCATTAACACGTGGGATGGGGTGAAATCAGCAGTACTATAAAGGTGGCACCTTTACAAACAACATTTGTTACAACCTAAAATCAGATGGACATGCATAGAAAAACCCAAATTGTTATTTACCATTTCTGATGTGCCAAACTGTCACAGACATTTTTGCTCAAGAAAAATGAGAAAAGAGTTCCCTACCCTACAGATCTGACAACCCAAGCAGAATTTGTGCTGATGGTAGAAAAAGTATGAAAAGAAATACGTATTACCTTTAAAGAGCACTTCCAATTTTCAAGCTGACACGTTTTATCAGCTTTCTATCCTAGACAACTCTAAAATTCAGTGCAAGAACTATGCATCTCAGTGTAGATTTTTTTCCCTCTAGCAGTAGGCTGTATCTAGCCATTACAAGGCCAAGGTTTTACAGTTACATTTTTCTCTTTTTTGGGAGGCTGCTATCGTGAAGATGCTGCACTCTTCTGATTCCATTTCATTCTACCATTTGTTGCTTCTTCCTGGGTTTTTTTTGTTTTGTTTGTGGCTTTTTTCCCCCACTTGATGTCTGTTCTCTAGTTTGGGCATACATTAATTACAAAAGCTGTAGAAAATTTACTTCCTAAAAGGACTTGTTCCAAAGATTTTAATTTTGAAAACGCTCTTCTTCGTACTAAGTGCATGCAAGAAGATTTGGGCAATACTTTAACACTTTTTTTTTTATATATAACTTAGAAGTAAGAAAAAAAAAACCAACAAAACACAAAAAGTGTAGACTAAGGTCTGAAAGCTTCTTTTGAAGTTGGTAACTGTGGAAAAGCAGTGAGTACTTGTGATATTATCCAACTGCCAATGTACATTCTTATTTTCACCAATGAGGTGATAATACAGACAAATTGAGACTTTAACATATGATGCATTTATAGGCTTCTGCTGTTATTAGATTATTTTGAAAGACTTTTTCTAAGAATTCTGACATACTTTTAGAAGTCATCACTCATTTGACTTTCTGGTCTTTGACTACAAATGCAACAAACGTCTTCACCAGCACTGTGCACAACTCTACATTCAGGTATGGTGGCGCAAGAGACCTTCCCCTAAATCAAGCCTGCTTAACAGTGAAAACAACAAAATTTGATAGTACAGAACCACAAAGAGAGTTACAATGTTAACAGCACACGCTGACTTAAGTCTCTCCATTGGTTTTGCCTCAAGTGGAACGAGAGTGTAGTATGCCAAAACTGTAAAGGCTGTTCTACACTAACATACTTGCCACATAACCAACAGAAATCTACCACACAAAATTAATTACCAAGCTCATTCTTAGAGCAAACTCAACTCTGCTGCACACTGCAGCCCTTAAATCAAATGGGCATCAGATCAGCCTGAAAATAAAATACAAGTTAAAGTTCAAAGTTAAACTTACTGCTGGTCTTTTGATCGGTTTAGGAGGACTTGACTGGGGAGAGGGCTTTTTAGATTGCTGCACTTGTGTTTGCTGCTGCTGCTGCTGCTGTTGTTGTTGTGCTGACTGTTGCGACTCTTTTTGCTGCTGAGTCTGTGATTGCTCTGAGCCCTGGGATTGCTGCGACTGCTGTACCGTAGGTGCCTGGGGTGTAGATTGAAGAGACGGTGGCTGCTGCAACTGGTGAGGAGTATGATGAGGCATTTGCTGTTTTCCCTGTGAGTAGAGATCCAGGATCTGATGGCAGATGTCTTTAAAAAAAAAAAAAATCCAAAAGATTATACATTCACAATGTACAAGTGTACATTCGATACACAATAATCCACTAAGCTTTTTACTGGACACCAACTTCAGAAAGAACTCATCATAAATATTACTCACTATTATAATGACCACAGATTTGATTTTTAAAAATAAACTTCTTCAATTTGTAATTGCATTTCTGAGTTTCTTCTACCTATGCTAAACAATATGTAGATGTATATGCACACCTTCCAGAAGAAGAAGAACAAAGTGTCTTGGTATTAATATACCGTATGTTATTACTGTGGCTTGGTGAGCCAAGTAACAGTGTAACAACAGGATAGCAATACAGCAAGAAAGTGAGTGAAGGAAGATTGTACGTTGAAGCATATGTCATCTGGTTAGGTCAGTCAAAAAAGTTTCATGAAATTATACAACTAGTACTAAATTATTCTTCCAACATGTTTGGAGTTAAAGGTCTGTAAGAAAATATGTAGGACCAACTGATAACCAGGTGCAAGAGCAGCACTCAAGGAGAAGAAAGCCTTTCTAGAAAAGCTAAATGAATTCTTTCAATGAGCACTCACTGATGCATTACCAGAAACTGGAGGGGCTGCCATTTTATAACCCTGTTTGACAAGGATTCAGCAGAGGATCTATCTGAAACTGAAGCAACTCTGAAAAAGTTGTAATACAAAGACAGCAAGTAACCATTTAATAAATCATCAGAACTGCAGGGTATTCACCTATGTGTTGGGTTTGTGTGCAGGGGGTAGGGGTGTATTCTTGGTAGTGGGGGAAGAAGCCACCTTGTGAGAGCGAAAAGCTCCCCTGGGTCCAAGGCAGAGACCCTCCAGCCCAGGCTGGGACAATGAGCACTAGAGAAACACCTCTACAAATCCATATTTGTGAGGGGAAGGACTGTCCTGAAAGGAAGAAGGTGGAGAGAACCTTTGGAGGAGAGGTCACTGACCAGAACAAAAGACAACCATCGGCCTAAACAAAGAGAGCTTTGTTGCCAGGAGGAAGGAGGAGGAGGGGAGGACAGAGAACCTCAGACACCCAGTTCAACCACATGGAGTAGGAGAAGGTAAAGGAGGTCCCTGCAGCCCACAGAGGTTCAATGGTGGAGCAGAGACCCATGTGTAGGCCATGGAGGACTCCATGCTGGAGCAGAAAAGCCAAGACAGGGCAAGTGTGACTGGAATTGAGACCCTAAGAGTGGTTCAATGCTGGGGGGGCTGGGGGGGAGAAATGCGCTGGACCAGAGGACCATCTGCAG